AGAGTAGGCCTAGTTACTTTCAGTTTCAGTTCTTGGTGTCCATGTGTTCCTAGAGTTGCTTAACTAATTGAATGCCAGGGGTTGAAATCCCAATGCTCCAGGGGTTGAAATCCCAATGCTTCAGGGGTTGAAATCCCAATGCTTCAGGGGTTGAAATCCCAATGCTTCAGGGGTTGAAGTCCCAATGCTTCAGGGGTTGAAATCCCAATGCTTTATTTTTTTTTATTAGAAAAAGATTATTTCTGTGAATTTTTACGGAAATAAACATAACCAATGTTAAAAAATCATTGTTCTTTTAAATCATGTCAAGGACCATTATATTTGATATTGTACAAATTTGGGCAAATATCAAAGGAAAACCAAAGATGCACTTTTTTATTTTTGGCCTGCATCATAATACACAAAAAACTGTCTGTTTTGAAGGCTATAAAAAAGACCAAGAAGGAAAGTTAGCCTTCTGAGTCTACTCTGAATAAACTTTTGGTCTTTGCGAACACAACTCTGTTTATCCAAACGTAAGCTGTTTCACATTTATTTTGTGTCCAGCTTCATTGGTGTGCTGTTTCTTTTTGTCATGTGTTTCAATTTATTATATATATTTTTTTTAATATACATTATTTATGTCACCTGTGCAGGTGGTTGGAAACTGATGCCTGTGGTGCAGTGTTTAGGACATTTTCCATTGCCAGCAGAAGACACGAGTTCAATTTCCAAATGAGGGAAGTTTTTTATAAAGTAATTCTGTCTGTTGGGAATTTTTATGACACCCAGTCGGGGTCAACCCTGGTTAGTGTAGTCGAGATCGAAATAAACCGCCCCCCATATGTTGATGGAAGTATAAAACATTTACAACACAAAGATAAAGTTGGATCTTGTTGAAAGATCTCAGAAATGACATTCTTTGACAAGTCCGTTTTTGTCTGACTTGACTTGAAACAAAATCTTAGATTTCTGTCGAAGCTTTGAGTGTTCACCCACCAAACATTTACAATTTTTTGTCCTCTTTGTTTTTGTAGATTGAACGTCTGGTAGATCCAGGCAAGAAATCACCACCACCACCACCACCACCACCACCATCACCATCATCATCATCATCATCATCATCATCATCATCATCTTTATTGGCCTCTTTCACCCTGGTATTGGGTATAGGTCCCCAAGGAGAGCTCTTCACCTTCCGCTGTTCTTCTTTTTCTTCTTACTTGGGATTTATTTATTGTTGTGTGGGATTTTTTAAAAATTAGAGGCTTATTTACTTGGTTCAAATCTGCTAACCTTGGTTTTCATCTCAGAATAATGTTAGCGTAGAGGTCAGTGAATGTGGCATATGTATGTCTTTGCTATTGGTGTGTGTTTTTTTGTGACTTACAAATGTTGACTTTGATTTGGTCTAATGTGAACCGAGAGTTGATTAACATCCACGCGCTTTGCCTCACCTATGTAATTTGTCGATGTTGTTATGTGGTCGCTTTTAAGCACAAGAGGGCTATCCCGAAAAATGCTGTTTTGAGGAAATCGAAGGTAAAGTTTTTGTCCCTTTTTCAGTCCCTATAAAATACAAGGAGAATTTTCTCTGTAACCAAACAAATATACACATCAATGAAACCAAACTTTTCCTTCTATAGGTAGGGAAATGCCCACTTTTGGTGTAGGTCAAGATTTCTGGAAACCCCCGAAATCTGGGTTAGCCGGCTTGTCCTTAAAAGTGACCATGTGTGAGTGTGCTAAAGTTGTTTCTTTGGAAAGGAGTAGGGGTTGTGGAGGGGTTTTGTTTTCACTGGACATGATACTATCAGTGAAGTCTGCTCATCACAAGCTTTCTTTTTTATTTACTTTGATCCTGATTTCACCCACCCCCCTTTTTTATGTTCCTTTTTACTTTAACTCTAAAACGGTAGTTCTTACTTTATTTGCTGTTCCTAAATGTTCATTTTGTAAGCAGACTTTACTATAGATATATTTTGCTTTTGTACTCTTTATTCAGTTTCCCTGTTTCCTCTGCTTTTCACGCTTCTTCTATTGCAAATTTATCTATAGCCTATAGATCTATGTGTAATAATTCTTTGTATAGTTGAAATTTCACTGTTGTCTTTAACTTTCGCTATTAGTCTGCTGGGGGGACCGGTGTCTGCAGGGCAGCTGTTAAGTGCTTCACCACTGCACGCAGTAGGCCCAAGTTCGATTCCTGAATGGAGAGAGAATTTCATAGAGCATCTCAATTTTTCTGCTGGGATTTTGTATCCTTCTCAGCTCGGGTTGGCCTTGACAAGCAGAGTTGGAAGCCTGCCTCCTTAATGATCTATTGTGTCGATGAGGGAGTGAAAGACTCCCACAGAAAAAAGTCTCTTGGGACAAATTTTAAATGTGGATTTGAGGGGTTTTTTTTGTCATTGTAAATATAATTATATGTGGGTAGAAGTCGTGCTATCGCAGCAGCTAAACACTTTGTTTGCCTAATAGTCTGATAGTGGTGCTTGCAGTATATAATTCTAGTCAAACAGAGAACGGGTTCATATTTGTTACTACTAAAAATTCATACGTGTATTTCCTTGACACTTGAAAGGTGTTGGCAATAAAATCAGTAGCAGTTTGCACACTTATATTGTGTCTTTCTTTATAAAGTTTTATTAAAACTTTTAACATTGCTTTTATGAATTATCTTTTCTCAACTTTCTGGTAGATCTAATACTTTTGCAGTCCTTCTTTTGGCTTTTTTTGTGTTTTGTGTGTGTTAATTGGTGGTTTGGGGGGATGGGGTATGAAATGAACAGCTCAGTAAGAAAAAGAATGCACTGGCTCAGGTTTTCTGCTCTTTGACTTGATCACAATAGCTTGTTCACTTTCGCCTGACCGCTGACCGTGTTAAAAAAGTTCTAGCTCATTGAGGAATTTACCTATGCCCACG